CAGTGCGTGTGTAAGACGTGTTATCAATGTTGTTGTGTTCAAGTGATTGCAAAAATCCGTTCTATTAAAATTCTTTTTCAAAGTTATGTGTCACCAAAAGTTCTGGTTTTTTCTTATACTTTTGTTTTGTTGTACAGGTGACACTGTTATTCCGTGTTGTAATGTATTAGTGTGTTACCGTTAAAATCGGCCAGCTTTAAAAATGTTCTTTTTCTTTCTTTTGCGGCTGTTGCCCAGGACGGTTGTCTCCATTCGTTTTCTTGTGTTTTTTATTTCATGTTTTCAACTACGTTCGGCTGCTGCTAAAACCACATTGTTAGGGTATTAGTTTGTGATTTGATTCTGGTGAGCATCGTTCGCGCAACCTTTGTTGCCCTTTTATTAATTGTTTTCCTGTTTTTAGGGTGTCATTCCTCATCAGCGTCACTGTGAATAGTGTGGTTTTGTGTTTTGTTCTGTACGCAGCGGCAATCATTGTATTCTGTGAGTTTCTTCGTTGTGGTACAGCTAGGTGGTCGCACGTGTGCGGGTTGTAATTATATTGTTCTTACCTACGCCCCCGGCATGGCTCGCGTGGGATGAAATCCACCACTTAGCTTACCATAGGTGAGTTGTGTTTTGTGTATTAAGGCCGACGGGCCTATATACTTTTTGAAGATAAAATAACCTATGTAAGTTCCTGTAAATTGCTAATGTAAAATAAATGACAATGCCAACACAATTGTATTTTAATTAATAATACTCAAACAATTAATGAGCAGTACTGATAGCGCCACATTGTGTTGCCTATCCACTAAGCCGTGAAGGCAAATTTTAATAAGACTTTAAAAGGCCAAACGCGAGCCATCAGTACCCATTCGCTATTTATAAACTTACAATGGATATAATATATAGAACGGACTACGTTCCGTGCAGTATATCACCGTGAGCCCTATTAAATTCCCATTCAGAATTTTTTTTCAATATTTGACGTTGGTAACAAAATATATTCATCATCACGATTGGGATAACTGTACCCCGCTCATTCAACGTTTCAATTTATTTCAAAACGCCATCTCTATATTACTCTATGGTACAGACGTAGTGACATTGTTTTCTTGTTTAAATGATTTATTAGTGTACATGTGTCTCAATTTTGAAATTTTTAGGGGACTTTGTTTCGATGGAGCTGCAAATATGTCCGGCCAAATTGGAAGAGTGCAAAAACTAATTTCCGAAGGTCAACCTAAATCTATTTTCATTCATTGCTCAAATCATTCATTGGACTTGGCTTTACGTGATACTATTAAGACTGTAGATTTAGCCAATGACACTCTACATTTAGTAAGATTTGTAAGCATTACTATTTACTATACTAGATTCAGCAAAACGAAAAATAAATGTTTTCTGATGTTGTTCTCCCTTCCTCCTCAAATGATGAAAATATTCATAGACATCAAACAATACCAGAAATTATTTCGCTCTGTCCAACAAGATGGGCAGTCTGGGTCAAAGTGATTAACAGATTCATACAAAACTATGAACGAATTATTCTAACGGTTGGAAACATTTTAAAAGAATCAAATTCAATTGCTAAAGACAGGCGCGAGGCGTGCAGCTCTACGAGGACGTGAAGCAGTGGCGTATTTATGCGTATTTATATTTATTTATTAGTGGGGTCATATCCCCCCCCCCCCCGGAAGCTTATTTTATTTTATTTAAAACCATGTTTAAAATTATATTTTAATAGTTGTATGATTGAACAATATTTACCTAATCTATGAATGGAAATACATTTTGTAAACATTTCCTGCTTTGTCGATTTCGATGATAAGAAAGAGGCGGCTATCTAGTTGTTGAATATAATATTGTTACCACGGTCTTAGATTGTTGTTATTGTTCAGCGATATCTTATCTTATGATGAATTCAGAGCTGATAATCAACAATTAACGTAGGCGAGAAACGCTTATCAATATCAGTTAAATTAATAAATTTTACACTTACTGTTGGTTATAATGTGCTAAAATTTGTCTTTAGAATCGACTTAATGGACTTTGCATGCTATCAGTGCACAAAAATATAACTGATGAGGTACTCAATGTACTTTCACTGTCCTTAAGAAAATTGGAATTTGTGTTATAATTAAAAAACAATTTTTTTTACACATTACAACATGTACCTATACGCTGCTATATATTAATATAAATAAATGTGTATACACTAAATATGTCTTAAAATCTTTATATCCCCCCCCCCCCATGAAAAATTGTTAGATACGCTACTGATATGAAGAGAGATGAAGCTTTGGAAATTCGAAACTCTCTTTTCACTGCACTCTATATCATTAATTTTTGGTCCATGTGAACAATTAGCAACTGCCTTGCAAAAACATATTAATTTGTTATTATACATTTATACTTTTATAGAACATTCAATATGCCTAGACACTATATAAGGAAAACTAATAGTGGATTCACAGCAGAGTTGATTAAAGCTGCTGCAGATGAAGTTATCATTGAGAATAAATCAGTTAGAAGTACTGCAAAAAAATATGATTTGTGTCATGTCAGTCCGTCGCGGTATGTTGCAAAATGTAAAACAAGTATGAATAATGGTGATGTTAGTAAACCAAATGTAGGATATACGGGGCCTAGACAAGTATTCAGTGTAGAACAAGAACAAATACTATCTCAATATATTAAAAATTCGGCAGATATGTATTTTGGACTCACCCCCTGTGACATTAAACGACTAGCATACCAATTTGTACACAAACTAGGCATGCAGTATCGTGAGGTATGGGGGAAAAACCTTATGGCTGGACCTGATTGGTTTACAAAATTTTTAAAAATAAATTCTAGTCTTTCTCTCAGGCAACCAGAAGCAACCAGTTTATCCAGGGCTATGAATTTCAATAAAGCCAATGTAAATTTATTTATGGATAAATTTCAACTAGTGTTATTAAAATATAAATTTGAAGCTCAACACATATACAATATTGATGAAACAGGTGTAACAACAGTTCAAACATCATCCAAAATAGTTGCCATTAAGGGGAAAAAGCAAATTGGTGCTATAACATCAGCTGAAATAATGGCATTGTTTTATTATCATTTCCACCACACTGCTCACATAAGCTCCAACTACTAGACCGCAGTGTGTATGGTCCTTTTAAAAAATGTGTTAATAGGGAAATGGATCAGTGGATGACCATGCACCCAGGGTCTAGAATGACAATCTATGATATTCCTCAAATTGTGGCTGGTGCAGTATAATGAGTGGTTTTAAAGTTTCTGGTATTTGGCCATTTGATAGAAATATTTTTCGAGACGATAAATTTGCACCATCCATAGTTACTGATATAGATGAATTAGAAACAAATCAAATAAACCAAGATACTCATCCTGAGCAACAATTATTCAGCAACAGTCTTGAACAAGTCCTGAACAATCCTGAACAAAGCATTCAAGAACCAGAATTACACATCAGTCCTGATCAAATTAATGTAAGTTCAAATGTTGCTATTCAAGCCATTTCAAGGTATATAATAAACCTAAATAACCTTCTATATTTTTGACTTCGACGATTGTGAACCAACCATTCAGCAACAGCCTCTGTTTTTTGCATTTTCGTTAAGACTTTGAGACTTTATTTTAGCATTCGCTCTTCACAAGTGAAACAAGTATCTCTTTGTGGACGTCCAAATCTTAGATTAAAATTTTTCATAAAATATGACCAGAAAGATTTATAAGAAACTTTGGGATAAGTATATTTTTCTTTAAACATTACGTAAATTTTTTTGACAGACAATTTTGCATCAAAATATTTGACTTCCTTTCCAGTATAGTGAGATACTTTTACTGGAAAAGATTCTAAATGACTATGAATATTAGTTATAATTTCACCACCCAATGCATTACCCGGTGCATCCGAATTGCATGCCAAAAAAATAAATATAAATCGGGTCGTCCGAATTTCATGCCGTCTCTTGGAGGGGTCTGTCCGAATTGCATGCCGTCTCTTTAAGGGGTCTGTCCGAATTGCATGCCATCTCTTAGAAGGGTATAACCGAATAAATAACTTATTTTTCAACTGGAGGATCGGGATTTTGTTACATTACAATAAAACATACAAATATTGTAGAAGGTGACACTGTGAATAAGAATCATAAAATAAAACTATTTTTTTTTCATCGATAACAAATGCCATTAGTTAAATAAAACTATTGTAGTTTAGGGTAATCAAGTGATTGTATTTTAAATAATATTATTTTTAAATTTGTTGGTTTTTTTTGACATTTCGGGCACACAATATTACAATTTAAATAAACAAAATAATATATAATAATAATTCACAATAATAAAATATGTCAATATAGAAACAGCTTTTTTTGCATAATAAAATAGTATAATAGCATTTTTTTAAACGGTCAATATTACAATGAAAAATTACGTTACAGTATTTACATGGACATTCACACGGATATAAAAATATTTCAATCCAGGAACTAATCACTAAACAGTTGTAACAATCATACATAAAAGAGCGTTTCTATACTGTAGGGACTCGTGGCACAAATTCACATTAATATTTAAGACAACTAAAACAATATAATAGTAGCAATACAACTCGAATAATTTAAAAAAAAGCTTAATGCCCGTGAGCGTGTGCAGTCCGGACACACTCCGCTGTCACACGCGCACGACAAGAACAGACTGACTTATATTAAACGTCGCTGGTTATCGTCGCTCGTTATCGTCTTATCACACTACAGCTCGGCCAAACCTGACGCTTGGATCGTCCTCGATCCGTACAATACAATAGAATTATAAAAAAAAAAAAAATACATAACAGGCTAAGTATGATATCTTGTAGGTATACAATGAAAATAAGGACAATAACAATTTAAAAAAAAAAATAGTAATAATAAGTTAACACTTCCTGAAAGTACCCGGTAGGTAAAAAAAATTACAGTTTTTTTTTTTTTTTTTTATTATATACAAAATCAAACAAATAAAATTTAATACTGCTTTACCCAATGTTTAATGTCCCTTGCAGCGACAATTGTATTTAAGGGTATCTGGGTAACTTGGTGCTCTTCAATGTCAGAAACAATATATCGGTCATGAGGGAGGACCTTATCTATCTTATATGGACCTTTGAATTTAGGCAATAATTTTTTGCAAATATTCGGGGTAGTATCGACATTTTTTATCATAATATAGTCTCCCACAGAATACTGCATGGCCGGTCGTTTGGTCGAATCATAATAAACTTTATTTTTTATTTGACCTATTCGTATGTTTTCCTGTGCATTTTGCCTAATCTTATCGAAATTAGGATGAACTTTTTCAGACTCATCAACCGCTTTTAAATACAACCTAACATAATCTGTTTGCTCACCTATTTGGTCGATACCAAATAATAATTTACTAGGTGTGTTTTGTATCGATCTATTAAACGTATTATTGACAGCGAACTGTATTTGATACAAATATTCATTCCAGTTTTGACTATGCTCGTGCATAAGTTTTGATAACATAACCGTTAAGCCCCTGTTGTATCTTTCCACCTGTCCATTTGCCGACGGCGTACCTACTGCTGTCTTAATATGTTTAATATCATATCGCTCACAAAACTCTTTAAACACATCCGAACGAAAACATGACCCACGGTCCGATATTATTTTAATCGGTTTACTATAGTGTAAAAAATATTGTGTTAATCGTAAACATGATTCTTTAGCGGCAACTGTGCGGACTGGATACAAATTCAAAAATTTACTAAACGCGTCAACCACAACCAAAATGTGTCTGAAACGCCCAAAAGTTTGGTTTAACGGACCATAATGGTCAACATGGATTGTCTGAAATGGTTTGTCTCCTTTGTCAATTAAATTTAATAACCCTTCGTCCTTACCGTATTTAGGCGAAAATATAATACATTTGAGACAATTGCTTATTTATGTCCTAACGTGATCACTCAATTTCGGAAACCAGTAAATTTGTTTAATTAGCTCGGTAGTTTTATTTGTCCCTACGTGACACATGTCGTCATGACACGAACGGATTACTTGGTCAACGCATGCTAGTTGGTACGTAAAATAGTAACCTATCATTATTTTTTCGATATACTAACCCGTTGCGTAACTCAAACTGTGGGTGTTCTGATCGTTCAAGTTCTTTGGAAATAGAGCTAATTTCAGGATCAGTTTGTTGTTTGATAGCAAGGGCCTGATTAAACGTACAACCTTCTATTACTAAAATATGCTTACAGCGACTTAATGCGTCAACGTGCTGCATTTGCGACCCGGATCTGTGCTCTATCTCGTATAAAAAATTTTGCAAAAACATGGCCCACCTAGCGATTCGAGGGTTTATATCTTTCTTTTGTAGCGTCAGTGCAACGCTATTACAATCGGTTATTATCTTAAATTTTATACCTTGTAAATATACGCGGAAACGCTTAATAAAATTTATAATAGCCAACATTTCTAATTCATAACTATGGTATCGCGATTCGGACTTTGTAGTCCTATGACTATAGTAAAAAATCGGATGGAATTGGTTATCGGGTTGCTTCTGAAATAAAATTGAACCATATCCGTGACTACTGGCATCACAATGAAGTTCTGTTATTGCATTAGGATTATAAATGGCTAATAACGGTTGTTCCCCGAGTTTCAATTTAATAGAATCGAACGACTTCATTTGCTCCTCTCCAAACTCGTATGGGATATTTTTTTTGAGCAAACTATAAAGTGGTTTAGCAATAATTGCGAAATTCGGAATGAATCGTCGAAAATAAGACGATAAACCAATGAAACTTTGGAGTTCTTTATTATTTTGTGGTACAGGATAGTTTTCGATTATTGAGACATTTTTTGGATTCGGTTGAATACCGTACTGATTTACGCAATAACCTAAGTAAATCACCTCGCGTTTCAAAAATTGAGTTTTGTCTAGACGGATCTCTAACTGTTTATTTTTCATTACTTTTAATACTCTAGACAGAAGCTCTAAATGCTTTTCAATAGTCTCTGTGGCTAGCATAATATCATCAAAATATACGATCACCTCATTTTTGCGAATAAATTCGTCGAAAACAATCTGAATAAAACGGCTAAAACACGCTGGACCATTAGCTAACCCAAATGGCATTTTTAAAAACTCATATTGTCCTAATGGTGTCGTAAACGATGTAAACTTAATCGATTCGTCCGCAACATATACATGGTGGAACCCATCTTTTAAGTCCAAGCATGTAAAATATTTTTTTCCGCGCAATAAATCTAAATTATCATCTATTAGCGGTAGCGGGTATCGGTCTTTTACTACATATTTATTTAACTCGCGGTAATCAACGCACATCCTAAAATCTCCATTTTTTTTCTTTACCAGTACTATGGGGCTACTGTATTCGGAACTACTACGTTGAATAATCCCCTTGGTCAACATATCATCTAACATTTTTTGTAGGCAACCCTTTTCAAAAAAAGACAAACGCCGTGGCCGAAAATAAAACTGTTTATGATTTTTTAATATAATGCGTATCTCAGGACGATAGTCGTCAGTCGTACTAACGACACTTTCGTGGTTAACATAGGACTCTACATATATTTTTTTAACTTTTTGTTTAATATCATCCGGCAGAGTATCCTCAACATTCAAATTAATATCAGCATCATCTCTATTATAATTTGTGTAATTAACAGATACAATTTCAGCAAATGATATATTATTATCAACCTTTCTAAAACCTATTTCAAAACGACCATCCGACACATTCAAATTTACTCTAGGGTGAGATAAAAAATTACGACCCAATAGGCAATCATTTCTCATGGCATTGTCGGGCACCACGTGAAAACATAAACTAATCGGGGCATCAAGATCATTATGAATAATATTCGCATCAAATTGATCTACAATATTTAGTTTGGAACCATTAATACCAACTAAATCCGATTTTGGGGGCACGACCCCAGAGACGTATGGGACAACTGTCGATTTAATGAGACTAACAGGACTACCCGTGTCTACTAATGCTTGTACATCGATAGACTCACTATTGGGGAATTTAATACTAATATCTAACATATATGGGGGTACAATATGTGTGGGGGACCGTTCCAAAACAGAGACATGCTCACCACCGTTGTTGTCTTGACGCTCACCTTGGTGACCTGGACAGTTCCGCGCCGAATGACCCAATGAATGACAGTTATGACAGGTTCTCGTTGGACACGAAGACGCCAGATGCCCAATCTTTCCACAGTTATAGCACGTGACATTCGACGTATCCCTTGATGGCTTCATTTTTGTATCAATAGTGGATCGTTGTACCGTATTTCGATCTTTATTGCGGTTGTCAGAACTGACTTTTCGATTGCCAGTACAACTTGGAGTTGTTTTGGCCGGCTCGGTCGATCGAATTCGATTGGTCCTGGCATTTTTCATATTATTGTAAGAATTAATATCAGCTAATAATTCGTCTTCACTTAAATGTGTGCGCGCTATCAGATAGTTACATAAATCGTGAGAATAAACACCTTCAACTATTTGTTGTTTAGTCTCGTTAAATGGTAACGAGATTTCACGGCAGAGGCGCGCTTTGTGGTGGAAATAGTCTATGACGCACTCGCTCTTGGTTTGAACGCGGTTTGACATGTTTCTTACGCGATCAACTGTGCACAACTCGTTTCCCACAAATGTATTATTAAACTGGTCAACAAAACTACCCCAACTTGAAAATGTACGACCAACATACCAATTTTTAGACGGACCATCTAATTTTGTACGTACTATTTCTAGTTTAAAACTGTCTGGCCAATTATGCAATTTTGCTACACCTTCAATTGATTTCAACCATGCTTTCGCATCTGTATTAGATTCACGTCCAGAGAAAATATTAATTGAATTATTAAAGTCTGGCATGACGTAGTAACCATTATTAGAAGTTGATGGCGAACATGTTGACTGCACACGTATGTTATCATTGTTATTGCCTTCAATACTCAATATCCGTGATAACAACAATCGGTTCTGCTCTATCAGCGCTGTCAATGCATTCTGCATTCCATTATCACTGGCGGTGGTTACACTACTGGACGGCTGGTTGGCATTTGGTGGTAACATGTTTGTTGTTGGCTGCGTATTAGGCTGCTCCGTAGACACTAATTGAGGCTGCACTGGTGGCTGCACTGTAGCCTGCTGCGAACCACTTCGTAAACGGCTAGATGACCAAACCTCGTGGTTTTCGACTTCATTCTGAACCGTTTGATCGTTGTCCATTTCGAACTAACAAAAGTTAGACAAATAAAATATGCGTTATAGACCAGACCGACACAACGACTAATTCCACAATTATGTCAATACACAATTCCTTTGAGGGCGTTGGTTCGATTCGCACTTCTGAACTGTAGGGACTCGTGGCGCAAATTCACATTAATATTAAAGACAACTAAAACAATATAATAGTAGCAATACAACTCGAATAATTTAAAAAAAAGCTTAATGCCCGTGAGCGTGTGCAGTCCGGACACACTCCGCTGTCACACGCGCACGACAAGAACAGACTGACTTATATTAAACGTCGCTGGTTATCGTCGCTCGTTATCGTCTTATCACACTACAATACATGCATTTTTTTAAAAATATTAAGAAAGTCCAAAAAAAATTTAAGCTGTTTAAGTGCATAGTAAATAAACGTGTGGTGTACGGCATGCAATCCGGACAAAGCCCTCTAAGAAATGGCATGTAATTCGGACATTTTTTTTTTTTGGCGTGCAATTCGGATGCAGCCCCATTACCACTATCATTTTTTCCTCTCATAATAGTCTTATACGTAACGAAATATTTTATCGAAACTGATTTAGGCTTGGAGTGTTCAGCACACATTTCAAATCTGCTTCGTTTTCTCTGTACAGGCTGTAGTTCCATAAAACGTTGTATGTAAACATCTTGCTCGTCCTTGTCCTTCATTTGGTTGAACATTTAAAGTAAACTTCTTTTTTCATCATCTGGGTATACAGATAGACAATGTTTTCTATACCTATAGATCATCCATTTTATTTAGTAATAAAAATAGGACTTGTACATACAAGCATATTGTTGCTGGTAATTTTTCATGAATTTCATTCCCAGCGTAATTTATATAAGATTCATCTCGTACTTTCTCATTTTTAATAATGTTACGTTCATATTTTTCACTGTTTCACACGTTTCTTTCTTTTTAACGTTCCGAGAATTTCTGTCTCGGAATCAGAGTCAGAATTCATTTTCAAAAATAAAATAACACTACACAGACACACAGTTCACACTACACTGCATTACTGTAGTATTATATAATTAAAGTAAATATTTTCAAGAGGCATTGTATACTATTAAGAGTACATTAATAATTGGTTTCAACACAACTAAGATAAGATAAATTAAAAGTTATTATATGTATGAGCTCGTTTACTGCAAAAATGGGACATGTCATGGACATGCTCCCTTTCTGCAGTAAAGTGAAATTTCCAAACACTATATTTAGCATTTGGATAGTCGGATTTGACTCCTTTCTGCAGTAAACGATGTATTTACAATTTACTCGTGCTTAACGAAAAATGATTATAAAATCAAAATTGATAAAAATGAACTTGTCCCCTTTCTGCAGTTAGCGATTCAGATAATTATTGATGAAATTATATTTATCTCATCTAGAAATTATTTTTGTTATCTGGGCTCAAAGCTCAACACTGATAATAAATGTAAATATGGGCTACTTTGTAATTGGCAGAAGATTTTAATATCGGTTACAACTGTAATACAAAGACGGCTATCTAGTGATTGTATATATCTATGGGGAAATTAAATAACTATTAAACAAAAATATTTTTGTAAAATCAATAAATAAAAGCCCGGAATAAAATAATTGATATTACCTCAACCAGTCAACCGCTACCGTGTCTCGATACCTACGTCTATACGAAATACTGAATTCTCTCGTTTTTTTTTGATATTTTTAAATAAAAATGTATTTTATTTTCCAGAACCTCTAGCTTACCAGTTTGTTGAAAGCTATATGAAACAATGCCAAACGTCCTTAGTGGTTCTTATTGACCTCGAAGCCCCCCACAAGATATGTATTGTAATATATTCATTAAACGGCAGAGCCATTGAAACTGAATCTGTTACTATGGATTTTCACCGATTGAAATCTAATATTAAGGCATTTAATTTAATTTAATAATTTTAGATATCGTTCTCTTTTACTTGTTAGTATCGAAATAATTATCTAGGTAGTTATATAAAACTTGAACATTTTCCGTACTCTGCTTGTGAGTTAAGAATGTTATTGACTATTGTTAAAATTCGTATTTCGATAGAAATTCTAATGATTATAAATATTTTGAATTATAATATTGAATCTGATATATAATTACGAACTGTAATTGTATATTTATAACTATATGTACAGCGTAATAACATTATGACCACAGACTATAAGAAAACAGATAGCTCACTACGCCGAAAACAATGGAAAAAAATAATAAGATTCTCTGATTGGGTGCGACCACATCAGTGTAGCTGCATGCATTTATCTAAATTATTGTTCAGATGTTTTACAATATTATTGTATATTTGCTTGTACTTCTGTTTAATAGTCATCGTAATATTCAAGATTTTCAAGGAAGAAAATAATAACCTAACCTACGCACAGTGGTCTGAAATGCAATTTTAGGCGGACAAAATTATTTTATTTACAATATGTTTTCCTAATGTTGTTTAGTTAATGTTAGTTAGTATAATTAAGTTAACAATGTATTAGAATTAAAGAAATTACATTTTTTTTATTACAATAATATAATTATTTATTCTGAATATTTATAATCATGGAATAACAAAATAATCTTATTCCGAGTCTGAACTACTCGTTCTACAATTACCATCGGATTTAACATTAATGACTAATTTTTGAACGGCTTCATCAAATTCAACAATTTTTTTGGTTGGAATTGATCGTAAGCTTGAAATATAAGGATCGGATGAAATCAGTAACATATGAATTAAGTCTTCATTTTGACATATTCTTGATTTTTTTCTAGTATTATGCTCTCTAATTCTTTTAAAATCTTTATTTCTAGACTCTTGGGCCTCTTCTGACAGTTGACCTATAAAAAATAAATTAGAATTCAATACATACATAATTTAATATTCATGGTTAGTGATTACCTATAGGTACGAGTGAATTGCTTATCACATCAGCTCCATGAATCAAGATTTTATGCACGCTCGCTGGCATGTAGTACCATGGATATAACGAAATGAACAGTTCTGCAGTTTTATATGCGTAAGTTTCGAATTCATCCACATTAATTTCGTATCCACTTGCAAGTGCTCTCAATATAACATCAAATCTTTTTATAATTTTCAAGTCTAATCCTGTTATATCAGCTGATGTTTCTGCATTTTTAAAAAATCGGCGTGCAGTGTTTCCGTCATTTGTAGTTCCACTACCTATTTTATTAAAATGCAAATGTACTGAAGAAGTATTTAAAAAAATTATGTTTTTATCAATTTTTATTATATTTTAATATTTAATATTTTTATGTTTATAAATATTGAGTGTAAAATACTGTAATGTATAAATTATAAATATAAACACATAAAATATAATTTACTAAAATATTTTTGACTTTTGACCACATACCCTGTAGAACAACATCTACCAGTAATCCGGTTTCTATTCGAAAACGATCTTGAATATCTTTTTTTCGTTTGGAAAAACTTAATTTTTGTTCAGGTGTTCTAACCTGAAAAATAAAACACTTATCCATTATTATCGGTATTAGAACTAAAAGAAAAACTGTACACTCTTTTACATACCTGCCATTGTTTAAACTCTAATCGATAGGCAATGTGTAACAAACATTCAAAAAATCGGATCCAGGCATGAAGTGTTGAAAGTCCAAAATTATAAAAAATTTCTTGTGCATTCTCTTTTTTTCTACATTTTTCTATGTTATTCATTAGACATAGAATTACAAACCTATAAAATATAAGATACTTTAAAATTTTTATTTAAATGATTGTTTAATAATATAAATTATATAAAACTATACATGTTTTTTATACCTTGCCATCAATCATCGAAAAAATAAGTGTGTGTCGAACTTCTATTTCCAAATCATTATATTTCAACTTAATAGGGACGATATTATCGATTTCATTATTTACTTCCCCAACTTCTTGAACTGTAGACTGCGCAGTTTCTTTTTTATACTCATACTTTATTGGCCGACAGTATCTTGTAGAAGAAGTTCGAGGATTTTTCCACAGAATTTTTTTATTTTCGGAACTATAGGTGGAACATCGGAGTTGTAATGGCACCAAAGAGAACATAAATAAGTCGCTGTCATTTGAATTTGTTGACGTTGAAAACCGTTGTTTGTATCGTGATTGCCCGTTACTTCCATCACATCCCCATTTATAAATTAATTCAAAATCAAACATACCCTGTTCCAGAGGTAGTACATTTTCGATTTGAAATATTCGGGTGCATGTGTGGTCAAGAAGATTCTGAATTGGAATTTTGCAAAACATTTCAGTTATATTTATGTTATTTAGGTAGCATTTTTTTTTCGAATCTAAAATTTTTTCATAACTTGGATATATATTGGCATTGCGTAACTTTGCCGATTTCCTTATGTTTATGTACTGCTGTTTTGTCAAATTATTATCTAAAATAAAAGCTAATGCCTCGTCTGCTGTGTAGGGTGTTATTCCTATCGATAGAGAACTTAAATAAGCTTTTTTTATTTTTGTTGACCTAGTTGGTGTAATTAAAGATTCTTTTAATAACATGGCAGTGTTTCTCTTACCCGATTTTTTCAATTTACTCTGAGCAGCATAAACTATTTCTGGGGACGAATATGATTTTAATAAACCTTTAATTTTTCTATTTTTCGATCTTTCGGTACATTCATCAAATGCCTTAGGTGGTCGGCCAACTGATAAACACGAAGTAGAAGGAACTGAAGGTTGAATATTTGGCATTATAAATTCTGTTTCAAGCCACTGTTTATTATTTTTGTATAAATTACTCAACTTTCTAGCACTTTTAGCCCATAACCTTGTCAAAATTACTGCAAAACTACGAATTTTTTAAATCACAAGTTTTTCATACATACTGTCCCAATGTTCTCCATTATATATTTTATTTTTTAATAAATTTAAAATAAATAGCCTGGATTCAATACTTTGAGGCTTTAAAGGGCCTACATCACGCAAACATTTAAAGAAATCTTCATATGTGTAATTTTTGATTTTTTTCTCTACACTAGAACTAGCTGTAAAAATAAAAATATAAACTACAGCTGCAAATGGCTGCAAATGAAAGTTATACCATTTAATCTATAGGAAGTTGTACTATTAGAGGATATTACTCGTGAATAGTTACTATTAGTTACTTTTAAAAGACCTTCCATTGAAGTTTAATAATGAAGTAAAAATTCAAGTTTACCAATTTGATTTAGTCTATTGAACCTATTAATAAATTAAAAAATATATTAATCATAAAATATTTAACTTACCTTTTGTATCGACTTCCATTGTAAAAAAAAAAATGTCGAAAACACTTAATATTGTACTCACAAAAGTTGCCTGAAATACACGTTGAACGGTCGAACAGGTAATGACATAAAATCAAACTACTCGTGTAATCATATTGTGATTACAGTTCATACTGGTTCGTTAATTATATTGTGTACTATATTTATATTTGATAAGGTGTATACAACAATTATATAATACTCTCAACCTTTCTAAAAATATTTTAAAATAATACTTTTGTCCACCTAAAATTGCATTTCAGACCACTCGTCCAGCTATAGGCCGCTGTGTATGCTTGATTCCTCGGGGAAACTCTTAGAGCGGCTAATTCTGGCAAGACTCGACACGCACCTCGATAGCACCGGTCATAGATCACCAAACCAATACGGGTTTCACCAAGGCAGCTCGACCTCTGACGCAATGGAACGACTGCTGAACGCCGCACTCGGCGCAGCGTTAGGCGCGGCACAGCACAGGGATATTTGCGTGGCTGTGTCTCTAGATGTGTTGAATGCATTCAACACGGCTCCCTGGAAGAAGGTGGATAATGCCCTCCGGGTTAAGAATGTACCCCCGTAACTCGTGAAAATGATAAGATCCTACTTACAGGATCGATCCATATTGGTTGGCGAAACATTCCACCGTCGAAGTACGACGTGCGGCGTGCCCCAGGGCTCGGTTTTCGGACCGGTCTTGTGGAATGTCTTTTACGACGATTTATTGGACATGGAAACCCCTTCGGGTGTCCAACTCGTGGCATTTGCCGATGATGTGTGCGTCATAGGCATCGCCCGCACAGGCGAAGCAGCCGCTACCCTACTCAATCCTGTATTAGCTAAAGTATCGGCTTGGATGGAACAAAACGGACTGAAGCTAGCTCCCACCAAAACTGAGGCTGTAGTTCTGACAATGAAAAACAAATACAACAACCCGGCGCTTCTGGTTGAAGGACACGCAATTCCTATCAAACAATCAATGCGATACCTCGGAGTTGAGATTGACACTCAGCTCTCTTTCACTAAGCACATAAAACAGGCCTCCCGCAAGGCTACCGACTCAGCGACAGCCATAGGCAGACTGATGCCCAACATAGGCGGACCGTCGCAAAGCAAAAGAGCGCTTCTTGGCACTGTGGCAAACAGCAAGATGCTGTACGCCTCGCCGACATGGGCCGTCCGCGGGACAAAAACGGCTAAGAATCGCGCGGAACTGGCAAGAGCGCAGAGGACCGTCGCACTCCGCATAACACGTGCCTATAGGACAGTCTCGACCGACGCTTCGTCAGTATTGGCCTCAATGCTACCTGCAGACCTGCTAGCAACAGAAAGGGCTAGAGTTCGGGTTCACCTGGACGAACAGGTCGATGTCACCCCGAGCGCCGTTAAAAACCAAGAGAGATTAATCAGCATCGCAGCTTGGCAAGCTCGGTGGGACTGGTCTAATAAAGGCAGATGGACATACCGGCTCCTCCCTGACGTTAGGCGCTGGTTAACAAAGCCACCGCTAACCCTGACTTTCCGGCTGACGCAGGTGCTTTCGGGGCACGGGTGCTTCCGGAGCTACCTGAAGAGGTTTAATCGGGCGGACGACAGCTATTGCGTTTACTGCGTTGTCCCCGACGACACTGTCGAGCACACGGTTTTTACCTGCCTGAGATGGCTTGACGACCGCGTTCGAATGACTGAGATTTTGAGGCGACCTCCGAACGCGGGCGACGTTGAGGAAATCCTGTGTGGTCCCCTGCCACATGACTTGCCGGAAGATGTCCAAGCCCGAAGGAGAATTATCAGACAGTTCGAAACTAATCGCGTGGAGTTCATCCGCATGGTCGAGACGATTCTGTCGACCAAGGAAAAGGATGAACGCTAGGAACAGGCTCTGCGAAGGGCACAGGGGAACGTGCGACCGCTCTGATGGAGAACGAAACATCCAGAGCGGTGGACTCCAGTCGGCTCGCCAATCGGACAGGCACGCGAATTCAAGGGCTGCGGACTCCGGTCGGCCCGAGAAGGTCAGGAAGAAGTCCTAATTGTTAATGCAAAACTTAGAATGCTTGAACGGGGTAAGTCGGTGAGCTGTCCCGTCTGCCTCCTATGTATATATTAATTTTGATACCGTCAATAAACGATGGCGGCGCCGCGGAAGCAATGCGAAAGCAGATCCCGCTGCGTCGTCGGTTAAAACAGGAAAAAAAAAAAAAGGTACATAATAATTGCATGCATTATTTTAATTTGTTATTTAAAATACCGAAAATTATAAACTATTATTAAATTAATTTCTTGTATATTATTTACGTCTTTATAAATGTATATCTTATTTATATCCTACAATTTCGTAATTTCTAAGGTAGAGAACCGTACGGAATAGAATACCTATTAACACATTCACCTCCGCACGTATATTCCTAGTCTACCGCCACACGCCGCGTAACTGTTGGCAACATATTACGTGTGCCGATCCGTGATCGACGGCGGCCATTGCCTATATCAATGAAGGCAATAGCCGGCGCCGATCACGGATCGTCGTATATTCTAATGTTTAGTTTCATACTAAAAATACATTTTTTTTAATTTTGATTCATATGAAATACGTTATTAATATTTATTGTTTTATAAAATATATACATACATGATTCCTTATCAAACATGTAAAATATTTTTATAAAATAAACAAAAATAACTTCGTAACTTGTACATAAAAAAACAATAAAATAATATAAATAATAAATCTTCAGAACACAAAATAACTTTGTAACTCTTGTAATTAAAAAAACAAAAAAATAACATAAATAACAAATCTTCAGAACAGAAAATAACTTTGTAACTCTCGTAAATAAAAACAATAAAATAATATAAATAACAAATCTTCAGAACAGAAAATAACTTTGTAACTCTTGTAAATAAAAACAATAAAATAATATAAATAACAAATCTTTAGAACAGAATAAAAATTGATAATTACATTCTAAAACCTAATAATTATTAATTGTTATATTTTTTTATGGTACTCTTCAAAGCAACTTTCAAGACACAAACCCGGTTTTTCATTGCATTCCATACAGTAATATATAGTATCTTTACGAATGCCTTTTCCTGAACAAATTTGACATCGTTTGTATTTGTATTTTTTTTTATCATTTTTTTCTACTTTTTTGGGAATATGTGTTTTATTTATTTTTTTCGTGATTCGAGTATTATTATTATCCAGATCGTTTGGTAATAATGCTTCAATCACAGACAGTCTAAATTCATACAACTTTGTCTTCTTTGCATATTTATTGTATAAAAAATAAGAATTTACCAATAATAAATGTATACAATGTATACCAATTTTTTTATACCATCTTACAGTCTTTCTTTCAAACGGATAGTATGAAGTCATCTGATCTTGGCGATCTATTCCAGACATATGTTCATTATATTTTATAACTGAAATTGGTTTATTTATACTTCTATTTTTTTCAATTTCTATCATTGAATGAGGAAATTCAGAACTTATTGTCAACACATCTCTTTTGTCTTTCCATTTCATAACGCAAATGTTATCCTCTGTATATCTGCAAATTGACTCTCCCTTTTTTAGTTTTTGAGCAATAACTTCACGTGGATTATGCTTACGGTTTGAGCGTAAAGTTCCCGTAACATAAGTTTTTTGTTGTAATAATTTTCGAGAAAGTTTAACGCTGTTATAAAAATTGTCCATATATAATGAACGACCTTTGTGATATAACCCACTCATAAGATTATCGACAACAAATTCTGTATGAGTCATACTCTCAGATATATCATTCCCTTGTCCGGAATAAATCATTATTTTATGTATAAGTCCCCACGATTCTGTAAGCATATACATTTTTACTCCAAACTTATGTCTTTTATTTTTTATGTACTGTCGAAATACTAACCGTCCACGCCATAAAACCATAGACTCATCAAGTGACAAATTTTTACTAGGTTCAAATATTTCGTTCATCCTTGAATTGAAGTAATTTACGATAGGTTGAATTTTGTGTAATCTATTACGAGGAACAGATTCTCCTTCAGCTGGGTTGCGTGAAAAATGTAATGCTCGAAGTAATATAGTAAATCGATTTCTACTCATATAGGTACGAAAAAATGGTAAATTAAATAACTTATTTGTTTTCCAGTAATCCTCTAATCTAGGCATTTTAATTGTTCCCATATGAAATAACAAACTTAAAAATGTTTTCATTTCCGATCTATTTGTATTTACCCAATTACTTATCCTAGACTTGTCAGAGACAGAATTTAAAAAAATTTCAATAGCATAAATATTAGTTTCATCTACAAGAAAGTCTAATAATTCATCAGTTACTAATAAATTAAAATAATCAATTGGCTGGTCTCCATTTGGTAAACACTTAAGTCCAGGTGTAGCTGTATATTCAAAATGGTTTATATTTTGTGAGTCAGTGGACCAGTCAAAATTTGTGGAACTATACATTTCAGATAAATCCTCGCCGACTTCATTCCCTCTAGAGCCCACATAATCACTCATAACAATATTTTGTAAATCGTTACCTTCATTTTCTCCATCATCGCTATCAGAACTATAATTATATTCTGATTCAACATCAAATTCTTCTTCAGACGATATCCATTTATCGTTTTCCAAAATATCAAGTAGCTCAGCATCCGATAGTATGTGTGTTTTCATACCTTTTTTGATGGGACTTCGAGAGCGATCAACTCCTGATGGACCGGCAGGAAGGTCCATGTTATTATAATATAAAATAAATAGATACTAAATTATAGAATACGAATTATAAAATTAATAATATTTCTAGAAAAACAACAGTATGGAAATCGCAAGAGTACTGTAGTTGTTTTGAATAAAACTTAACGAAAATACAAGGGAAACACAAACCAACTGCAACGCATTGTTTATTAATACTTTCTGAATGGCCATAACAAATATTGAAGCCGTATCTCCATGGCCGAATTATTTATAAACATATCTAAATATAAGTGCTAGTGACGATCACGGATCGGCGGCGGCTGTCAGCGCGCCACTACTAGCGACGATCCGTGATCGGCGGTGGCAGTGAACGTGTTTTAATGTAGTAAGTAATAATACTAATAAATAATCTTCAGGTACCTAGTTAAATAGTAGCTAATACACTACCTTTTTTTATAATTAATAAAGATTTAATTTAATTTTGTCTCCAATTTTTCAATAGTTTAATTCCAAAATATACATACTCAAAAGTTTCAAGTACCCACGAATAATATTTTTGAATTACAACAAAATAGTTTGTTAATTTCAATTTGATAAATTTTGACAAAATTTGAACTTTGAATGCTCATCAAAAATCTTGATTAAGTATTTTAAATATATTTTTGCCGAATTGCATGAACGCCCATTAAATGTTTAACGAGCCGTTAGCGCGCTAACGAATGATTAACATTTTATTCATCTTGTTCGAGCCAGTATGGCAAGTTTAAATATATTATCTGCAGTGCGGTCGGCGGCATCAGCTTCCGTGTACGACTGCCCAGTGTGTGTGTGTGTGTGTGTGTGTGTGTGTGTGTATGTGCCCTATACGCTATCTGTTTGTTTTCTCCGGTTTCTGTGCTCATTCTAAGTTTGGTTGTTGCCTTGTATTAGGTTTCTTATTTTCTATTTTTCTACAGGCGACACTGATGATTCTATGTTTTAAAACGTTATACATATTCAAGTTCTCCGTTCAAGTCCGTTTTTATTTTCTGTTCTGTTCCTTTTTTGCCTTTCGCTGAGCAACTTCATAGTTCCTGTTTTCTATCGTGCTCCTACTGTTCTGCAATTGCTGCAAACACGCGTTTATTTTCTCTAGTTTTATTTTCTCTTGGTTTTCCTTGCGGTTGAGTTGCAATTACTGCAAACACCAACGCCTTCTAGTAAGTATCGTTCGTGCAATAGTTTTGCCCGTTATTAATTATTCTTTTCCCAGTTCTAGGGTGTCGTTTCATTGTTCAGCACGTGTTTCTTGTGTTCGTTGTGAATTGTAAATGTTAAGTGAGTTATTCGTCTGAGCTGTCGGCCCGTTAGTCGCACGTTCTCGAGATTGCCACACATTTTATTTTATATATTGTATTCTTTTTATTGTGCAAACGTGTGCATCTCGATGCGGTAGCGTTAGGTTCGAAGCCGCTAACGGACGGCAGCTCGCAGGTAAACGGCTGACGAGCCGCATTATTATCATTTTATATATACTAATTATTTCATATTATGCACTATTAGTGAGCCAGCTAAGGCATTATTGTATTATTATACATTTATTTATTATTATTATTTGTATTATTGTCAGCCGACTTAGGCCAAATTTATATATACTGCATTATTATTGTATTTTTTTATTATTGTACCAAACAGGTAAATTACGTTTTAATTATAATGAACTAACTGCCACCAAATATTACATAAGTATTACTTTTTTATTGTATTCTCTGATGTAGTGCTACATATTATGTTGCCTACCACAATGTCGCGAAGGCCCAACTTAACCTTAACTTAATTAAGCGCTGAACGCGGCAACACATCTGTTAAACAATCTTTAAACGTTCAATAGTGTTATTGGGCCGTTAAAATATAGGTTACCAGCTCATTAAACTAATGGGCCGATTTCGGCTCTTTAAATTTTAATCATTCGATAATCCTACAGTTATCACGCATACGTATTCAGGTGTAAGTAGTACGTCGTCACTATACGTACCCTGTAGTTGGTTGTACTTACTAAATTTTTTTCTTAATACTTATAAGCTGTAACCGAAAATAGTAAAAATGTCGAGTTCTGATTCAAGTTTATCGATTTTCGATGATGAATTTGTTTTGGATATTTTGTATTATTTACCTAGACCGAGGTTATTTAGAGATCGATCAAATCCTTAGGAAGAATTTGGTGAAATCGATTTTAAGTGTCGATTAAGGTAAGTAATAAGGTGTTTTAAAAACATTGTTACATATTTAAATGTTAATAACACCAAACCAGTTTTATTATATTATTTAAATTCTAAATACGTATTACGTTTTATTTATAACAAAAATCTAAAAATATTCCATCCTAATGCAGTACATATCATTAATAGTCCTACAGGGCCTGTACTGTTTACATTAAACATTATATTTTTTATATTGTAGTCAAAAATAAAGTTAATACTAAATTATAAATATTTATCATTTATTTACTAGTATATAAACACATACATTTATCCAAAAATTCTGGGGGGCTGCAGCCCACCCCCTAATTACGCCTACAATGAATGGTAGTTTAATACAAATACACTAAAATGTACATGATTTTTAATTTAAAAACAGGCTATCAAAGGAAACATTTGGTTTTTTATGTAATTTTATTGGCGAAGAATTACGTAATTCTCGTAGAAGTTTCGCGATTTCTCCAGAAATTCAAATTTTAGTAACATTACGTTATTACGCAACAGGAGCATTTCAAGTATTTTAAATAATATAGACAATACTAGTATAATATTATATTCTAAGTTATCAAGTAGATTTAAGGACCCTTTGCCATTAATAATAAAGTTCTCAGAATGAAAACCTGCCTCTCACTTGTATAAAATATAAATTAAAATGTATTTATACAATTACAAATTACCTACTTACTATTTAATTTAGGTAGGTACTTACGGTAATCGGAAAAAAAATCCCCTGACTACAATATTACTCACGACCACATGCAAATGGTTGAATAAATATTTTTTAAACGTATATTATATTATATTTTTAATTTAAGCTAACAATATAAAATTAAATATTGTTTGCACACGATCGTGGTGTACTACTTGATAGTTGATAATATATATTAGGTAGGAACTTGTTTATAAATATTTTGGAATAATTCATTAGACTGTCATTGGAGATCATGTGCACGTACATAAGTCGACCATTTGTAGAACAATAAAAAGTGTATTACAAGCGATTTGCCGTTTTCGATCTCAGTTCATTGATTTTCCGAGAAATGCCGAACAGAAGAATATGATTCAAACAGGATTCTTACAATTACATGGCTTTCCTAGGGTTATTGGTGCCGTAGATTGTACACACGTTAAAATCCAGTCACCACACGCCAACATAGGAGAACGATTTGGAAATCGAAAAGGGTATTTTTCGTTTAATGTTCAGGCCATATGTGACAGCAATTTGAAAATGATGAATATTGTCGCTAGGTAAAAAAAAATCAGTACCTAACTTGTAACTTATAACAAAGGGGTACTTTAATATTTATATTATACAGGTGGCCTGGTTCAGTCCTCGATAGCACAATATTTGACAATAGCATGATAAGGGCTCAATTTGAAAATAATGAATTTGGAAATTGCTTTTTATTGTGAGATGGTGGATATCCTTGTCGTGACTATCTAATGACTCCTCTCCTTAATCCTTATACCGAGCCAGAGAAAAGATATCAGGTAGGTATAATTTAAATACGAGTCTTTAAATCCATGTACATTATTTTACCTTACATAATAGCGAACCCATATTGGCACAAGAAACGTTGTGGAAAGGATGTTCGGTGTATGGAAACGAAGATTTCCTGTGTTGGAATTAGGTATACGTACACAGCTGAACACAGCCATGATGACAATTGTTGCTACTGCTGTTTTGTATAATATTTTAAAACAGCAAAACGATGAACTGCCAGACAATGATCATGAAAATATAATATATAATGAAATATTAAATCAAGTTTATGTAAACCCTGCTAGACAGACGGGTAACTTAGTTAGGACACAATTAATAAACTCTGTTTTTGCATAATAATAATTTATTTTTGATCAAAATTAAATATTAATTATTATAAATAATAAAAATAATATAAATGTAAACTCTATTTTATACTAAATACATTAATATTATCATAATTTATTAAAATAAAATAAAATTTAAATTATTAGTTAGTGTTATTATTAAATTTAAAATGTAATATAAAATATATAATTATTTTAATTTATATAATATAGGAACATAGTTATACATGAGAATATAGTAATTAATTTTTATGTAAGCATAACATAGGATTATAGCAATTTATATATATGAGAAATGAGAATATACTTATAACTATACTAATCTACTTATATAATAACTAATATAATTAAGAAAATAATTATACGAGTATATATATATATCAGAATATAAAAATTTATATATACTAGAATATTCCTAGTAATGTAAAACATATATCAATATAAATAAGTTCTAGGTAAATATTAATAAATACGTTATTCCATTCCAAACATTTTCTTCTTGTACATCAATTCTGTTAATAATATTTCTTCGCTAATTTTATTTTGACGGACTTCAGATTCAAATTTTTCTTTGTCATACTTAATTTTTTGTATCACTAATGTTCGTTCAAGTTCACTTGTTTCAAGATCAATTTTGTTTTTTTTTAATTTTTATATCATGTATTTCCTCTTCAAATTTAGAGCTATTATCAGTTTTTGTTAATCTTTTATTATTTAATGTTGCCAAGCCATCATAAATTCTTTTAGAAGAAACTTGTTTGGGCTCAGATTCAACATTTTTACGGGATTTAATAGAGAAATTATATATTATGCTTTTGTCGGATGAATTGGAAGTAGATGCTGCAGATACTGAAGGAGTGGATTGATTTAAAGATGATAATGTTTTGTTTAAGTATATGGATTCAGGAATAACAGGTCCACCTAGGATATCTGAATTTTGAAACAAATTGGCTATATCAAAAGCCAAATTACATACCTATTAGCATTGATTATATTATACAAAGTCAGTGGCGGCATGATCTTTTATTAGATATCAGTTACACAATTTAATTTTGATCACTATAATTGACAAACCACCTACTTACCCATTAATATAAAACCATATATTTAGTTAGCTGTTACACTGGCCTGACAAGTTTTTGGCCAGTACCCACTCACCTTACATTTTCACTTATACAACTTTGTAAATGTAACTTTATTTATACCGCCACTGCTTATTTTTACGTTATTGTGCTTAAATTGCATATTGCGGAATATTTTTCGAAATTTCAACTTCACAAATTCGATCCGATCTAAAAAAAAAATAGTAATTCAGCTTACTCGCAGTCTTGTCTACCTATTCTCTATATACAACTCACAACTCCTTATAGTTTTCGTGGTTTAAAAGTGTGCCATTCGCCGTTGAATCTGTGTTTCAACTGTGCTTCAACCAAGTCCAACAATAATTTTAAAATCATCACTCAGCAATCTCAATGATTTGGAGTTTAGTTTGAAAGAATACAGTGAAGTAAAAAAAATTATATGCACATATCTAAACTGTTTGGGATTTTTAAATTTAACGAGATTTCTAGGAAATCATTTATTTATTGAAACAGATTTAATTACTGAATTTTAAGAGTACTCATTGTCTGACAGTTGACAATAACAGGTATTGTATATAATTATTTCAAAATAATATATTATTTAATTAATTGTTTTAAATAATTTTTAGATATGTATTATCCGGAGCAGTTTCTTATGGACATAATTATTATGACGTAGCGTATGTACGCCGTGTAAATAGATGGGAAAGGCACAATGATTTGGCAAAAAAAAATTAAAAGTACCCCTAGTTCAACAAAAATTAAACCACGTGTAATTTTATATGTGAAAGAGTAAAAACAAAAATTGTTATTAATTAATGTGAGCTCCTATTTGATGGCCATAAGTGTATAATATTCAGTAAGCCATGTTATGTTCCTTCTAATAAAGAGTAAAAATAATTAATAAATACATTTAAAAAAATAAATTATTAATTTGTGTTTATTGTAATATTACCATGTATTAAGACTATGACGGTAAGAAACAATTATTTTATATTAAACTTATATTAAATAGTAGACCGATATATTATGTATAAAATACTTCTGTAAGTAGTATATTTAAAATTTCAATTGTGTATTACATAATATGATTTTAAACTTTACTATAAACTATACCTACGTATAAACACCAATGATTGGTATGATTTTTGGACTCGAAATTATAAATAAGTTAGTGGCTATTTGCAAAATTTTAACAGCATATTTCAGTTCGTAGCTCAAAAGGGAGTGTGGCGTGAAGTTGCCCCCCATATTATATTTTTCGTACCGTGTGGGAAATTTATTTGCAAATTCTGAAAACCAATTTGCAAATATTTGCAAATTATTTGCAAAATGATAAAAAAAACTTTCAAAAAAATTGGTCATGGAGGGGGGGGGCAACTTCACTCACAAAATTATTCTTAATTTAAAATAAAAAATATGTATAGGAATCACTTAAATTGTTTTTTTCTAAAGGACTACGAATCTAAAAATGTGTATAATTTATAATCGTTTATGTTATAATGGTAGGTAATACATAATAATAATGATTTAATAAATATTTGAATAGTAATGAGTCCACAAATGATTATAACACATCAAACACAATAAAACAATAACTCTTCATCATTTTTAGTTGATGCTCGTGCGTTTTCTACTTTTTTTTTGTGTCATCATACGTTTCCCATTTTTGATTTCCCCTGAAAGCGGATGCAGTGTAGTGGCCCATGGCATTCCGCAATCCTCTTCTTTCACCACCACAGAAACTGACCACACCTCTTAATTTGTACGTTTTATCTCCAACTGTCAAAAACTTTTCCAAATTGTCCAACTTTTCTTTGATGGGTTGCGTAAAATTTTGTTTGATCAAATGTACTGGAGCACTGTCGACATTTCCAGTGCTAGTTGATAATTCCATATCTAAAATAAACAAAAATTGAATTAACTACATAATATACAATTGAGAAGTTCCATTATATCTTCTTAACATTAAATTACATTGTTTTATATATTATTTTAAATAATAAAATATGAACCTAAATTTCCAATAATATTTACCTGTGGGAATCGAGTTCAATTCAATCATAATGTGTGTAGTGGGTGCTACTGTTATGCTTCTTTTATTTCCACGAAAAGCGCAATTTTCTTCAGAACTCTCAATATATGCCAATAGATCTCTCTGTATATTTATTTGACCATCAAAAACATTTAATGATAGCTGCGTAGATGTGACTTCCAACACAGGTACGGAACAGAAATTATTAGTACAGTTACTAGTTTTTATGAATGAAGGCATTTGACCCATTAGGTACTTTATTAACCATAAATCCAGCAGTATCAGTTGTGTCAATTGATTTAAGGCCACCAACTAATGTTTGCACTTAACTTGAAAAAAATTGTAACAAAAGCAATGCTCGATTGTAATAAGTTTGTTTCACTTTTTTTTCTGTAATCATTTGCAATACTATACTTGCCGTCAAATTTGTTTCCCTCAAATTAGATAAGTATTTTCGATAACTGCTACGATCGGCTGCTGATGTTGCTAAAATTGACAGTATCGAATCTACCGAACACGTATTACTTATCATTATTTTCCCTTGCTGAGGTACTGAAATTGGTCTACTAAGGAGATGATTTCCATTTTTTTTTTAAAGTATGACAGGAACTATAGATCCCTTTTTATTGAGGTCTAAATATTCAAATCCTGGTTGTTGAATAAGATATGAAGGTGACTGTCGTGAATTTTGTAGTTTTCTTTTTCTATTCCAACTTTCTGTCGCATTATTTTCGGCTATCGTTGAGTTCTTTTCATCACAATCAAGACAAATTCTTGGTTCACCACAACCTTCACTCGTTCTTGGAATCCTGATGGAGCAACCAAATAAAATATGAACAGCTTTATCACACTGTAAACACTTGTGAAGACCCGTTGGAAGATTTCCAATGTGCAAACTATTACCATTACACAAGGGTTCATTGTCGCGTGTCATCAAGTCATCATTAGTGTACATTTGGAATGAGTTCACATTGTTTTGATCCACAAAAATATAATGGCTTTCTCTACTTAAGTCATCGTTTAAATTTGATATTAAGTCATCATTATTAGGTCTGTGGGATATACTTAAATTGTTTTCATCTTCAAATGCGATGTTATCATTGTTATCGTGCGAGCCTTCATCGCGATGAGTTATCAAATGATCATCGTTTTGTCCTTGTAAGTTGTAATAAAAGATGATCGCCTCTATAATATGATATCAGTTGTTCTACAAACGAATCTACTCTCAAAGGTAAATTACTATTCTTGAACACACGTTTTTTAATATGATTAAAATTACATTCAATAATGCTACTAGACGCGGTTTCTTCCCCGAACCCAAATTGTTGTCTCATTATAATTGCGGACCAACAAGGAAATAATTTAAATATTCTTATTATTATTGGCTCAAGCGCAAGTAAATATTGTGCGTTATCAGAGATTCACTTTACTAATTCAACTTTTGACCTAGACTTGTCAGCAATAGATTGCGCCTAATCTTTGAAAGATGTATTGGCGTTATATACGCTTTCATCATCAGCCTCGTAATTTTCATTGGCAAGGGTTTTATTTGAATTGTTCAGATCTTGTTCGTTACTTTCATCAAATTCTACTAAATCTAAAACATTAGTTGTTACTAAGGATTGCAAATATCGTTTGGCTTTATAACAAGGAGTCCATTCATTTGTGCCCTCAATATTTCCATCGAATTTACTTAAAATAACATCAAACAATGCTTCTAAAATCATCTCAGTATCTTTAATTGATGTACAAAGAACAAGTAATCCCATTGTACGAGTAATTATTTGTTTTGTGCTTGGATAAATAGAATTTTTTATATCGGACCCCACTGTGTCACAAGATGTACAAAATGGTTCACATCATTCCTTATATAACATGAAGGTATTTCTACGTCTTCATTTTTAACAACCAGAGAGAAACATGCACTTAAATATCTATCGAGAGATGAATATTGCGTAAATGCTTGTACAAGTCCAGACATCAAAGCTAGAGACTGGTCGCTAATCACTACTTTGGGAGGTTCGAAATTACATCTTAACCATCTCTTAAGCCATATAAATATAGACAAATTATCATGTTCTTCAGAGAGCATCGAAAGGGCCGTAAAACTTCTATTATTCAAATGCATAACACCTTCAACAGATTTATCCCATTGAATTTTTCTGCAACATCCACCAGTAGCATCAAACGAAATTGTGTGTGTAGTAAACTCTTTGTGAGATTGTCTATAAATTTGCAATTGCGACTCCAAAAATGGACAAAAAAATTATCCAGACCAATACCATGAATTGATGTTGAAAATGGACTATTGTCTTTCATCAATTGTAACGCCTTGATTGGATCAGTGTGATGTCTTGTAGCTGCTAGTGCTCTAAACTTAAGCGCTCTTAAAGCATCGGCAGTAGGTATTTGAGCTGGTACAACGTCACCTTATGAATAAATGAAAACATTTTTTTTTTTTTAGATTTTGCAAACAAGTGCAAAGATGCAAATTTATAATTAAGTTTGGGGTTCTAACGTTATTTTTTTTTATTACTATAGAGTTTTTCCTGTAAGGCATATTTGTGATCAAAAAAACAGGTCATGTGAAGACCCTTTAAAATTAGGTTCATGCATATTTACTGTTCCAGTAGGTTTCCGACAATGACCATGAAGTTAGCCCCCCACATTGGCCGATGCTCTTCAAACCAGCACCAAGATTTAGCAAAATAATTGCAAATAAATGAAACTTCATTTTTAGAATTTGCAAATCAAGTGCAAAATCACAAATTGAAAAATATATTGGGGGGGGAGGGGTTAACTTTATGCAGCCCCCCCACACTTTTTCCAATCCGTTCCGAACCAACGCCAATATTTAGTAAATTTATTGCAAATAATTGCAAATTGGTTTTTAGAATTCGCAAATCAAAATCTTAATTTTAAATAATTTTTTTGCAAAATGTGTTCAAATTATTTATTTTTTCTATTCAACTAGGCTTTTATATTCCATCAAGATACTTTTATTCTACTTAGCTTTAAATACATAAATAGATTTTCCATAAATCCAAGTAGAATAAAAATATCTTGGTGGAATATAAAAGCCTACCAGTTGAATAGAAAAAATAAATAATTTGAACACATTTTTTAAAAATAAAAATAAGATTTTTCGCACAGGTCACTACAAAACCTAGTTGTGGAACTGACCCACTTATCATAATTACAGCTGTTAATGTTGTTATTATTATTATCAATACTTTTACTGATTTAGTTTTTAATAATTATGACTTTTGTTTCTATGGTACATGTTAGATTCTGAGCGGAGCGAAATAAAGTATTGATTTTACAATGATGTGTTTTTTTTATTCTTTTTTATTTATTTTTTTTTTTTTGTGTCTGTCATCACCTTTTAGAACAGTAAAAATGCTTCGATTTTTTTCAACAGTACCTTTTCTGAATCTACTTGGTACTTTGGGGGGGCACAATTAAAATTTTCCCTGTAGTTTTCATAAGAGCCATGAAAAACAAAAGAAAAATTAAGGAAAAAGCAGGAATTTTTAAGTTGAATATTTAAAAAATCGGGTGCTGGGGTAACGTTACGCTGGCACCCGCGTTTTCGAAATGGATTTTGACGTGTTGGGGGGGTTGTACAAATGAAAATTTTGTGGTTACAAACCTGAACAAATGATATAACAATATTGTTGACGCAGATTTTGTGTCAAATTTCTAATATGCAGGTGCCAGCGTAACGGAGCCTTGAATTAGGCAGTTAGATATTTAGATAGTTAGGATTAAGTATTTTATGCTTACAACACAGGACTGTGTAGGTACTTTAGTACGTTTTGGAGGTAGATAAAAAAAGTATGCTTTAGAAAAAATTTACAGAAATAGTTCATTTTGATTTAGGTAATAATGATTTGCGCCTATATTCGTTTAGTATGGGTATAGGATATGCTCACGTTTTGGCAAAAGTCTGGAAACGTTGACAAATTCTGACAACGCCAATCGACTTCTCCATGTTTTTTTATCATAAGAATAGATATAATGGTACTCAATTTTTCACAATTTATCACCCCACAAACCTATAAGTTTTTTGATTTTGGTTAACAATGAAATTTTGTAACCAACGATTGTTTACAAATGACACTATGAAAGTAACTTATACTCTACAGATTATACTAGATTGTGGTACAACTATGTAAGGAATTTATGAATTAATGCCTTATAGTTATCATTTATCAATAAGTCATATGGGTATAGAGACCAACTTATAACTAATTACTATTTACTAGTAAGTGATTGACAACTATAAAAGTTATAAAAATTAGAGGAAAAACAAAATTAAAAAAAAAAAGAAAATTGTATATATTTGTATTTAATATTGTCCTAATCAACAGAAATACAATTAATACCGTCTCTAAACAAAATTGTACAGAATTATATGAATAAAAAAATGTTAGATAATTTTGTACATTGATAAATCGAAAGTTGGTTTAACAGATTGGTTGAATAGAGTAAAATGTTACTGTAGAAACGGCATAATAAGTGGTGTGAATGAAAACAAAAGAATTTATTCTGCCAAAATTACAAAACTACCCAACGCATAGCAGCTCTCAACCTATTATAATCAACTAATTGTTCTACTGGACCAACAGCGGCAACGGCGGGACACCTATCAAAAAGATATTTCATAGCGATGTCGTGAATATTCTTGGCACTAATATCCTAGACAAAAACAAAAAACAACAATTTGAGTAATGTGTTTTTAACAGTGATTTTTATAAAATAATGTACTTACATCGATACGAGCTTCCAACTCATGCGGAGGTATACGTCTGTTATAGCACAATAATTGACGTCCAATATCTTCGCATACTTGTGTAGATGTGTCCAACTGCAATAACATGTTAGTTTTCAAAACATTCTTGGCGCGTTCTACCTCAGCATCAGTTACAGAAGCACACAATCTCATCCATTCTTCTTGTAAATGGAAAGTGAATTCCTAATAAAACAAATAAAACAATAAATTTATCTTTTATATTGATTAAACTAGAACTAAATATATTTAAGTTATACAATCTCATTTTGATGTGATGTTTAAACAGTATGTGAACTTACACTGATCTTCAATTTATCACATACAAAGTACGCTCCCCACAAACCAGTATCTTTGTAACAAGTGTTGAATGATTGGAAAGAGTGGCACAGATCCAATGAATCGGCAAAGCGGGCCAAACGATTGGCGTTGTTGTTACCGCCTCCTTGAGAACGATCCCAAGATCCAATTATGGT